TTCTGTTGTTGCTCAGCAGTGGAGGAATCAACCGCATCCTGTTCATTCGAGCTCCCGTTCAACGCTGCAGATATTTCAGCTGCGTTCCGTCTCAACCGCTCAAGAGCTTCTCCTATGTTCTCATAAGTCGTCTCTAGTTCAGCCTGTAGCACAAAATTCGGATGATAGCTATACGATATTTTGAATACCATCTGGCGATTTTCCTCTTTGATTTTTTCCATCAGTATTTCTTTCTGTTTAGGCAACGGCAAACTGATCTTTTCCAGCTCATTGCTGACTTCCATCCTGCTTTGGAGTATATTATCTATAGCGACACGTATACGAGTAATCATAGTATCTACGAGCAGCTCGTGTCACCTCGAGCTTTTGATAGAGCCAGCATACGACGACGCGACGGATCCCTATCAAGTCTATCACTGCTTGCAGCTAGTCTAATAACAATGACATCCTGACAGACTTGAAATACCCATCCACCTTTGCTGTAGCGGTTCCATTGCTGCTTCCAGCTCGTGGCTAGCATCTCTACAAAACACCGAGCTTTAGCTTTAGCGATTCTTCCCGACTGTACAGACTTCAATTTGACTTGCTCAGCTATCAGCTTCTCGTACTCCTTCTTCTGCTCTGGAATAAGTCGAGCCACTAGTCCTTCAAGATATGATTGTTGTTCCTGAAGCATTGTGATTTGGAAATGGAGTGGTGTGAATCAGCTCACGAATAATTTATGCTCAAGTGCAGCCAAATCCTCCTCGCGTTCCTTCTTTTGAAGGAAGACCTCGTCAATCTGTTGTTTCCCAAATACATTCTTCTCTTTCACGCTCATGTACCTTTCAGGACGGTAAAGCTCTCCATTGGGAAGCCAGTATAAAATCCATACTGTCTTTCGAGCTCGTCTGATCTTATGTTGGCTCTCTGCTTATCGAGCGTGAGGTTATAGTCAGCTAGCTCTCCTTCCAGACCTTTAACCTATTCAAGTTTCATGCAACTTTCACAACCCCAAATGCTATCACTTCTTCCAGTAATAATTGACGCCGACGTTGGTACTGTTTGTATGACTGACTTTCTCGCGCGATTTCAGTCATCTCCTTATTGAATAGGGCTATCTCGGACGACAGGGCATTTCTATGTCAAGACTATTTACACGGCGATATTCTCCTGGACTCACATTCGGTTCCTCAGCTGTGCTTTGAAATAGCTCTTGTCTTGCACCTGTCTCCCAGACCTCGTCTGTGATGTCCTCATGCCCGACAACCCTTGCTGGGTCACTGGACGATCCATGACTTGAACGCTCTCCATTGATGCCTGTAAAAATGTACTCAAATTTCAGGTCAGCTCATGATTACTCTTGGTGTAGCACTAGCAGCGACTAAGCTACTGTTCAGACCAGCTCGTGAGCCTACACGACAACTATCACAAGGCGCCTCTCGACCTGGTCAGCTACTAAGGGCGGTTCCTGTGAGAATACTGCCACGTTGACTAGTCGGTCTTCCCCCAGAGGAGCCACCAGTCGATCGCATGGCGCCTGAGAGATCGAAAATACTCTGCCAAACCTCTCTGCGTTGGTTACTGGTGGGTCGATTTGGAGTGCTCGTATAGCTACCAACATGAGATGGCGGCGGAGTTGAACGGAAACCACCGCTAGAAGTGTTGAAGCCTCGTGACTGTGGACGATCCGACATCTGTGCGGGATGCAAGGCTTGAGGACAGCTGGAATTCCACTCAAGCCTTCATCTGCGAATGGCTTCGCTTATAGTACAACCCTAGTGTGCGAGTATTCCCACTATTCGCTGTATGACCGTTCAACTTCA